GTGATTTTCCATTGAATCAATATTACCTAAGTGACTATACTTGTAATCTTATTAGTTGACTGTATTTTTGTCTCAACTTATATCCACCCTGTGATTTTTCATTGGATCACTATTACCTAAGCCACCATACTTGTAACCCGACAGGTTGACTATAGTTTTGTCCTACCTTGTACCCACTTCACCACATGGTTTTGCTCTATAAAACTTCTTTGAAAAACGTGATTCACTTTCTGGGCCCCTTTCTGTCTCTCTTAGACAGAAACTATCCTTTCTCAATAAATACTTCCTACTCTTAACCTCTGTTGTTCCTAGAATTCACTCTTCAATTTTAGAGAACATGAACTCAGCATATCAGCATATTGGACATCTAGCAGTTGGGTGTTATATTTCCCTTATTTGGAAGTCCATATATCATCCCTATATCATATGTCCTACATCATGCTCATAGGTGGAGCTTTTGAAAGGTGATGGAATCATGGGGAACCTTAGCTAAATGTGCTGTTGGGAGGCGGGGCCTGATCAAAGATGAGGGTCGCTTAGGAGCATGACCTGGAAGGGTGTGTCTTCTTCTTGGCTTCCTGGCTGCCTTGATGTGAGCAGCTTTTCCTCTGAAATGCCCTTCTGCTATGCTTTCCTGCCTTGAAACTGGTTAACTATGTGATGGAGTTCTCTGCTAGGTAAAATGGATCTGTCAGCCCCACATCCTAAATGGCTCTTCCTGGTAGATAATAAATCACTCAGGGAAACCACCTAACTTTCCCACCATGAAGCTCTCCCGCTTATAGTCCTTCCTACCAAGAAACGCAAACTTGCCAATGGATTTAAACCTCACCTCTGGCTGCAGCCAAATATCTACCTCCACTATATCCCCCCCCACCTTATGCCCCTTGCCCATATAAGACCTCACCTAGCCAGCCCCTGGCCGCTGCTCTCACCATTGTTCTAGACAGCCCGGCACCTGTTCCCTAATAAAGGCCTAGCCTCAGGTGTTCGTGTTTTCGGCTCATTCTCATCCCCTCACTGTGGACTAAAAGTATGAGCTAAAATAAACTTTTCCTCCTTTTAAGTTGTGGGTGTCCCCTGTGATAAGAAAGTAACTAAGACAAAGTTTGTACCAGGAATGGTGCCATAACTGTGACTTTTTCCTGATCATGTGGTTGAGAAGCCTCTGGAACTGGTTTGTGAGGAGTTTGGAAAGATTTAGAAATGCCAGCTGGAGAATCAGACCTAAGAATGCTGTAAACCAAGCTTGAAGGCAGACTCTGGTCAGAACTCAGAAGATCAGAATGGTAATAAAAATGCAGATTGTAAAAAACCAGGTTCAAGAGGTTTCACTCTGGAAAAAGGACTCCACTGACAGTTGGACTCCAGGCTATGTGTTTTATGGTGTGGCAGAAAATTTGTCTACACTTTGCTCATGTCTTGACTTTGAAGGAGACTGAGATTAAGGACAGCAACCTTGCAGAGGAAATTTCAAAACAGCCCAACGCTCAGGCTGTGGTAGGGGTGCTGATCAAGGTTTTAGCCATGTTTAAACTAAAGCAAAAAGTCCATTTCAAAAGTTTTAATTTTCTCCAGAAAGGAAGCACCAGTAAAGTTGGAGTAGAAGAGAGCTTGGCTGCTAAAAAGATTAGGACTTCAAAGAAGTGAAGTATTTTGGATCAGAACAATAGGAAAATGGCTTGAGGGCATCACATGAACCAGGAAGATCCCACTTTCCAGGCTCAAAATTGCTAAACTGAATGATTTTTGCTTTGATAAGAGAGCCTGGGGGCACCATGCACAAAAATGGCCACCTAGAGGGCCAGGGATTTAGCTCAATGTTGCCGCCACTTGCCTTACAAGTGCAAGGTCCTGAGTTCGATTCCGGGTACAAAACAAACAAACAAACAAAATGGCCACCTAGAGAATTTGTCACCAAAATTCAATACATGGTGCTTAGCCACCCAAGCACTTGGGTCTGAAGGCAACCATGATTCAAGAGGGTCTGGCTACTGCTCCAGCTTGTGCCAAACCTTGGTATCATCCATAAAGTGCTGGTTTTATAGGCATGCAGAATACAGGAGTTGTTGGGTCAGGGAGACCTCATCCAGATTTCAGAAGGCCTGGGAAGCTAGGCAGTGTGCCTCCGAGAGGGCAGTGCACGAAGCTGTGAGAGTAAAGCCAGAAATACAGCAGAGACTCTAGAAAGGTGGCAAAGCCAGGAATGTGGAAAGTCTGAAGGAGGCTGAAGGCAGTGAATAGAGTCAGCTGAAGAAAGAGGCCATTAGGATTACAAATGGCAATGCCATGAGAGCAGGGCCACCCAAACTGTTTGGAGCCCAAATCTGGCCATGACCTGGGGCTGGACACAGAGTTACAGGATTTAATGTTTTCCCTGCTGGGGTTTGGTATTGTTTGTTCTCATTAATTTCTATCCCCCATCCCTCCCTTTGGAATGGGAATGTTTACCTTGTGCCATTGTATATAGGCAGCATTTAACATTCTCCTTGGTGTTTACAGGGGCTCACAGCTGAATTTCCTTTGAGTCTCAGAAGAGACTTTAGACTTGGACTTTGGTGACTCTTAAGAGATGGACTAAATGCATTTTGCATAAAGAGAGGTGCAAGAGCCTTTTATGGGTGAGGGCTGGAATGTTATGGTTTATATCTAGGACCTCCCCCAAAGCCTCATGCAATCATAGTTGGGACTTTTGAAAGATGATGGAATTTCCGAGTCTAACAGCTAAATATGATGATAAAAGATAGGGGCTGGGCTGATCAGAACAGGCAGATCCCTGGGTGTGTGCCCTAGAAAGGTCGATCTTCCACCTCAGCTCTTCTGTTTGCTATGTGCTTCCTAGTTCTCACAAAGTGAGCAGCTTTCCTCTGTCATGCCTTCTGCCATGCCTTTGCCTTGAAGCCAGGCAGCTATGGAGTAAAAATGTGAGCCAAAATAAACTTGTCCTCCTTTAAATTGTAGGTGTCAGGTATTTTGTCCCATTGACAAGAACGTGACTAAGATAAATGGCTTAGTTTGCATATAACCTACGCACATCCTCCCATATACTTTTAATCACCTCTAGATTATAGTACTTATAATACATAGTACAATGCAAATGTTATGTATATGGTTGCTATAATATAACATATTGTTTAGGGAACAATGATGAGAAAAAAGTACATGTTCAGCCCAGACACAAATTTTTTCCTAAATATTTCTGATCATATGTTGGATGTGTTCTGTGGATGCAGAACTCATGGACATGGAAGTTGACTGCAAGTGACCATTTATACAGAAGGCTGGAATGTCAAATCAGTTAAGGAACTGTTACATTTAATAGATATGATGACATATGCAGGAGTGGGGAGAAAAAAACTTACACTTTTGGATTATGCCCAACACTGTGATATACACTTTTACTAACAAACAGAGCTGAGTAAAATAAAAGGACTCCATGCCTTCTCCATAAACTGTGACAGATTGTTTTCCACTTGAACCCAAGGTTGTAGGTAAACTTCCACTGAAATATGAACTCAGGTTATTAGTGGTGCTAAGGATTTTTGAGATACGGATATCTTGTAAGAGCAAACCCAAGGAAGTCAGTACTGTAACTAGAAGGCATTGACCATTACATTCTTAAACTGCAAAATATCTGATTGAATCACATGCTTAAGACTGGTGATAATTTTGAAAAAACATTTAATTGTAACTTATGAGTACTCACCACTCTTTAGTTTTCCTTATGTGGAAAACTAAAAGGCATAACTGTAGACACAATCTTTAAAAAATAAGGTTTAGTATTTATTTTCAGATGATTTACTCTCTGGTCTGGATTTCAAAGACTAACAATGTGGACTGAACATTGTTTAAATTTTACAAATGTATGCTTATTATAGAAATTTGGGGAAATATAGAAAAGTGAAATGAAGCAGAAAACAAATTCTCCAGTCAATGGAGATTACCACTATATACATTTTAGTTGGGCTCTATACTTCTCGTTTCTATACTACTTTGACATCCTTAGTCACTTTTAATACGTATTATTTCCTTTGAAGTTTTAAGTTATGTAGTATTGCATTTTATATAGTGCTATCTTTTTAAAAAATTGCCATTATTAAAGACCATCCCAAACATACAGCTTCCTAAAGGCCTTCCTATACTAACGTGCAGCAGACCCAGGAACCGGTAAAGTAAGGGAAGATCATGAACGGAGTAAAAGTATCAGACAATCGCTCAATGAGAGGCAAGATAATAGGGCTAACCAAGCAACACCGATTCCTTGATATAGAACTGATAGATTTCCCTCCAATTTAGGGTGGCTGCTGTATATAATAGCCACCTTCTTTCCAAAATGCCCCTACTCCCACCAAAAGAGTAACCTAATACTTGCTCTCCTCCTAACAACTAGTGAAATCACAGGCTCCTCCAGTCCCTAGCCACTACCTCACTCAACCCCACCTCAGCTCCTACAAGCCCCACCCCCGCTCCTATAAAAAGCACTTGCTGTCCTGGCCACATTGCTTTTGTCTCTCTTTTGTTCAGAGACAGCCCAGCAGATTGTCCCTACAATAAAGGCTTGTTGTGGCCTGGTCTGGTCTTGGTTTTTGGCCTTTCACCTGACAAGAACAAAACGTGTCACACGTCAATTTAAGTTCATCTTTGCACCAATCGCACGGGGCTCAGGCTACCTTGGGGTGGCCTTTGAAAAGCTCTGATTCACTTCAGTGGTGGCGTCGGGGTAAAGAAAAACCTGTCCAAGGCCTGTCACCAAAGTCGCTGACATGGGCGGTTCAGGCCAGTGGGTGGCGCTTGCCCACATACCCAACTTCGTCCTGACATCCTGGAAACATTCACCACCCAAGCGCCGAGATCACGCTGCGCATGCGCTATAACAGCCTTTAGGTGTTTCTTCCTTTTCAGTCCCCCGCCTAAATACCTTTCTTTTCTCTCCCCGAGTTCCGGAGTCTTCTCGCTCCTTCCGGTCTCTCGCCCCTAGGCGGCGCCAGCGAACTGCCGCTTCTGGTCACCCATGTCCCGCCCCTTCCGCCTTGCCGGTGGCGGCGGCCCCTGCCCGAGTCTCCTCGGGGTCTGGGGTGGGATCCCCGTGCGGGACGCCTGAGCTGGTAGAGCCGCGCCCCGGGGACCGATGGCGATGAACTGCAACGCCAAAGACGAGGTGGACGGCGGGCCCCAGTGTACGCCGGGGGGCGCCGCGAAGACGCGGAGGCCGGACAACACGGCCTTCAAGCAGCAGCGGCTGCCCGCCTGGCAGCCCATCCTCACGGCGGGCACCGTGCTGCCCACGTTCTTCATCGTCGGCCTCATCTTCATCCCCATAGGCATCGGCATCTTCGTCACCTCCAACAACATCCGCGAGATCGAGGTGAGCGGCGGGCAGGGCCCTCCTCCCGGGGACGGCGGCGACCTCCCTCTTCCTCCCCGGGGAAAGGCAGCACCTTCTCTCTCCCTTCTCCCCTTGCTTTCTGCGGCTGCTTTCTCCCTCTGCCCGGCTTCTGTACTTAATGTCCTGCATTCCTCTTGCCCGGGATTTAAATGGTTGCCAACGGAGTGAATACCGTAGAAAGAGAATCAGGTGGAGATTTTATTTAGTGGCAGTTTGTATGATTCCCTGGGCTCAGAGTGCTGTTCGTCGAAATGAAAAGCGGTAAAAAATAAAGTTATATCAAGATGTAACTCTGAAGGAATCGACAGGATGATGGGATCATTACCTGTGCGGGCACTGTTCCAGGACACAGATGAACACGTTGACCGTGGTTGGGAAAAGACCCAAAGTCCCAAAAGTATTGAATCTTAGGTAAAGTAGTGAAGTCATATGTTACCAGGGCACATTTTAGGACATTCGACGAAAGTGTGCACAGTGCCTTTCAATTTGAGCTAATTACATGTTTTAAGGGCATGATACAGGTTAAAGCTAGCTGGAAGCTTCAATTCTGGTCTTGCTTTTAGGCTTCGTTTATTAATGATCATGTATCACATTCACTGTAATTTTTTTCCTTTCTTGATTTTTAAACTTTACAGAGTCAGTGACCACACACAGGGAATAAATTATGCACTGTCTATTAAACATTTTACTAGTATGATTTTTACTGAACATTTTACTTATAGATGACAGGACAGAAGAACGTACATCGGGGAAGCATTTCGATTTCTGTCAGCAGAAATCATGGTATTTTTATACAGTGATGAAAATGGATTGATAGTACAATGTAAATACTGTATGGTATTCAATATTAAACATCTTTTATCTTCCTTTTATCATATTTGAGTGTTTTTAATCAGCTGAAAGGCAAAGAGCTGATCCCAACTAATCTTGATTTGTTTTATCCTATGCATATATGTATATAGTTTTTTTTGGGTGGGGGTACCGGGGATCGAACTCGGGTCCTTGCGCTTGCGCAGCAGGCGGCGAAACCGCTGAGCTAAATCCCTGGCCCCATGTGTATACTTCTTAATATTTATCTACATGATATAATGGGACTTTCAGAATAATTTTAATTTTTAACCAGGGAAGGAGGGATAACTTTTCCAGTTTAATTTACAGTGTTATCTCTAAAAGCAAGATTGACATTTTTAATCGAACAGTTGCTTACTTAAGTGTTAATTACGATGGCAAAAATAGTATCTATAGGGCCGGAGATTTAGCTCAGTGGTTCCGCCGCCTGCATCGCAAGTGGAAGGACTCAAATTCAATCCCCGGTACCAAAAAAAAAAAAAGTATCTATAGCATAAGTAGGTTTTAAATCTTCCACTAAGGATTCTGAATATAAGAACTAGGGAAAGTGTCATGTATATTTTTTAAGTAAGCGTTTTAATTTATTTTATTTTTTTTTTTAAATCTCCCTAGTAGTCTGCAAATGTAGTCAAAATCCAAAACTTTTTGGGTGTGTCATGTTGAGACTCAAAATGTTTGGATTTTGGTGTTTTGGATTTCAGAATTTTCAGATTAAGATGTTCACCCGGTGAAGTCTATGAAAATATTCCAAAATCTGAAAACCTTTCAAATCTGAAACATTTCCTGTTCCAAAAATTTTGGATACTCAACTTGTACCTATTCTTCATCCACACTAGGGTCACATATATCAGACCATGCATGGACTCTAGCTGATATCATGAAGAGCTGGGTCAAGTTCAGCCACTTTAGCTCAGATTCTTGGAAATTAATGTAATTTTCTGAACCTCAGTTTCTTCATCTCTAGAACAAATAAAATAATACGTATCTTCCAAAATGTAAGAATTAGAAGCAATATAGATAAGAGGTGTGGCACTAAGTTAAGTGGGAGATGAGAAATAGATTGAGCTTTGGCTGTAAACTAGTTAACGATATAGTACTATAAAATTGAGAAACCCAGGAATGTTGAGTCCTAGTTTTAAGCTTTCACCGTACACTAAGGTCCCTACTGCAGTGATAAAAAGAAGGAAATAATTTAACATTAGAAATCTGAGTCACTTTATTTAAAATTTTTAGATACTTAAGATAAAAATAGCAATAATTTCCAATTTTCTATGAATGAGCATTTACTGAATTATGTGCAAACTTCTGAAAATGCTTATCAAGTATAATATGAAAAGAAATATTTAACTTCCTTAAAAATTTTGGGTTCTAGAGTAAAATAAGGTTCTTACACCAGCTAGTTGGGAAATGGACATTTCTTAAACAGTTCTCATGCGTAAGCATAATTTCAAGTTGCCTGAAGGTGTGCTGCAGCTTGGCTGCTCAGAAGGGCACTGACGTTGAATCAGAGTAGTAGAGCCGAAGTTCCAGCTCTTACTCACTGGTTTGATATCACAGGCATGGTTTTGAGTATAGTTTCTCTACTTTGACAAATCAGTAGATTCAGAGAGCATGATCTCTAAAGATGCTGTTGGACTGTTGAAATTCTTTGAGTTCTGACTTAAATGTGCCTTATAAAAAAATGTTGCATGTTCATGTTATATTGCCATTGAAACTAGAGGAAATGAAAATTAGAAATAACTGGGAATTTTATACCAACACTGGCATACAGTTGTGCAGATCAGATCTGATAAATGTATATGTGTGTGTATATATGCATATATATGAAGTAAGAATATTAAATATCTAAAATGTGGCTCCAAATTGGGTTTGGAGTTATCAGAAAAACCTAGGGAGCTTTCCACGCTTGTTTCTGCCTGTTCTCTACCTTTTTTTCCCTGGTGCTGGGGATGGAAACCAGGGTCTCCAGCATGTGCTGTGCCGTTAGGCTATTCCCCTAGACCCTCTACCCTTTGTTAATTACTAGTTTAGATTAAAATATGTTGAGGGCTGTTTAAAAGTACAGCAAATAGATTATGAGAAGTTCTTACCTGCATTGATTTTGTACTAGAAGTTGCTCACATATGTTTAGTTTCTTTATTTTTGAAATTTTAAAACCTTGCTGTATTAGTTCAAATTACAAGGGCAAAGGAGACTTACATCAAAATGTATGGCTTACAGTGCTAAGATCAGAGATCTAGAGTTTTACAGTAAACCTAGTGGACCTTTCATATTCTCCTAGAAATGTTGTACTAAAAATTACTTACAGGGCCGGGCATTTAGCTCGGTGGTTCCACCACCTGTCTCACAAGCGCAAGGTCCCGAGTTCGATCCCCGCTGCCAAAAAAAAAAAAAAATTACTACACTTATCTTGTGCTTCGGAAAGGTATGAAACAAAAAAGTGCTTTTATATTTTAATGTAGATATTCAGTAACATATTCCTCCTCTTTTAGGCTTATGTTTTTGGGTTGTTTTTCGATTTTACAAATTAAGTAAAATGCTTTTAGAAAACTATAGTTAATTTTATCATTCATGAGAAAATATTTTAAATATTTAAATCTTTTCATTCAGTATGAGGATTTAATATTTTCATTTATTATTGGGAGCAAGGGACTAGTATTTCCTTTAATTTGGTAACTTAGGAGTCAGGTACATGTTTTTACTACAGAGGTGATGGTTTTCTAGTCAGGGCCTTTCATGAGGCTGAGACATGGAGCTAATTTGAAAAAGATAAGATAATGAAGTTTTTCTTAACTTTTGCGAAGGTTGCAGAGTGAAGTTATATATTTTCAGATTAGTATTTAGGAAGCTTGGCAGGGTGTTAGGCTCCTAGAGTCTCAACTACTTGGGGAAGCTGAACAGGAAGATCCATTGAACTCAGGAGTTCAGGGCCATTCTGGGCCACATAGTGAGACCATGTCTCAAAATGAAATAATTAGAATATTAGAATTTAATTAGAATTCGAATTAAATAATTAGAATCAGATAAGAATGTTATGCAGAGTAATATTCAAAATTTAGAAACTAAATATTTATGTATGTCAAATCACTATTTCCTAAGGTACCTTTTTTGAGATTTTGGTGAGAGAAACTCCCAACTTGCCTCTTTATATTTACTGCCCTCACTTGTTTAATCCAGATTATTTTGTTTTCTTAGTTTCGTTTTAAGAAGATTAAATTTCTCATCTGTGTTTAGTAATCTTTACAGTCTTTAGTAAAAGTTAAGGAAAGATAAGTTGCTTTTAGAAACAGTAGTTAAAAGAAAAGGTATTAAAAATTTTAGAAATTTAATTAAATTTAATTTTGTGGCATTGGAATTGAGGGCTTTTCCATTGAGCTACATCTCCAGTACCTTTTTTAAAATTTTGAGACAGGGTCTTGCTAAATCACCAAGTTGTCTAGGCTGGCCTCAAACTTGTGATCCTCCTGCTTCAGCTTCCCAGAGTGCTGGGAGCACAGCTAAGATTAGACATTTTAAAAATTAAGAAGTTTGTAGATTTTAATATTTAAAATGATTGTAGCTACTAAAAAGTGAACCTTTGGAAATTAAAAGGTTTGTGGTGTTAATGTTTTTGTTTGTTTCTGAAGTAACTTTAGTACTTACAGCAGTGGATGGCAAAGTAAATGTGACCTACTTGAGCATTTTGCATGGCCCAAAAGCTAAGAGTGGTTTTTTGCACATGATCATTTGCAGTCAGTTTCATGATAGAGAATGTCATCTATTATTCTAAATGTTACTTATCCTCCCCCTCAAAAACTCCATTCTTCTGTGAGTTTTTAATTTTTTTTTTTTTTTTTTTGGCACTGGGGATTGAACTGGGGACCTTTCGCTTGTGAGGCAGGCACCGGAACCACTGAGCTAAATCCCCAGCCCTAAAACTCCATTCTTCTTGTGAATAGATCTTTGCTACCCCAAAATTATATATAACTATTATTATTACATTTCTAATTTCATTAATTTCAGTAAAAATTAGTTCTCTCTTATGTAAATACTTACATAAAACCCTCAAGCTTGCTCCTTGGTCTGCAAAGCCTAAAGTATTTATTTTCTGGATCTTTACAGAAAAGAAATGCCTGCCTTTAATTTAGAGT